ATATATATGTAATTTGAAATTAAAATTGATAGTAAGGGTATGTAAAATTTTACCAATAAGAATTGTAAGTACAACTGCTTCAAAGAATGAAGTACCGGTACTGTACAGAAACGTTTAACTCTCCTAAACCTCAATAATATTACAGCACTTTATACATTAATGCATTAATTCTACAGGCTTCCGGTCTTATTGACGATTATTTTTAGATTAGGATTATATAAATTGGATATTTTGGAAACAAATTTATGAATATAGGTTTTTTTATACGTGGTAACAAAATGAAGCTTAATATTAGTTCATATTTGTATGAAACTGCTTTTAATCACGGTCACAACGAAATCGATAAAAAAAAAAAACGCATTGGACTATGCGCAATAACCGCAGAATTCTTACATTTATATCATCATCATCATTACTCATGAAACAAACTGGTTAATTCCATTTTGGATGTATACAGCAATAAAATTATAATTGTCATTTTGATAATTATATGAATGATAATATACTGATGATGATTATGACAACGACAATGATGCTGATGATGATGCAGTGGAGTAACGACGAGTCGTGGGGTCTGGGGTGAGAAAATGCTAGGGGCCCTTGCATATTTTCGCTCACGAAGAGACCGGAGTGTCAGTGAGCAATCTCTTATAGAGGAAATGTTTTAAGGTTGAAGAGACTATTCAATAATTAGACAATGTCAAAAATATCTTGTGAATATTTAACAATATACCGTAATCAACTAATATTTTGCAAACACATTTTACTTTAATTTGGATCTATACATAAATCGTCATTTGCATACGTGCATTTCATAGCGTGCATGCTTAATCATGAATATATTGATCAGGTTCCAATGAAACTTTGCCAATATAGTAATCATTCAATCAATCGTTGTAAGGGACGGATCCTGGGAGAGCAAGGAGCTCTTAGCGTAGGCTTACTCCAAAACAAGCTAATTTTCGATTCAAATTCCTTTAGTGATATGGTCTCAAGGATTTCAAAAAAAAAAATCTCTCAGCACACGTCGCATGGCTCCTGCCAAGATTTTCCTTATATTGCCCCTGGGTATATTCTATAAGGTACCATTCCAATATTAAAATAACAGACTCTATTAACATAAGAATTCACAGACGGACAAAAATTTACCTTCCCCTTAATAATTGTAGGCCTACGACTTCTGGATCATTTTTTCTTCTTGTCTAATAGGCTTGAAAATACCAATATAAAGGCGGTTAGGTAACCAAATTGAATGATTGTTTTAATAAAGTATTACTTCGATACCACGAATTATTTTGCTGTGAAACATGATGAGGCCAATGGTGTATAGCATGGTAAAATCATTCGGTCCCTTTTTTCAGTGGATAAAAAGCGCTAGAAAAATGTAAAAAGTAGGTTTTCATATTCTTTTTTGAAATCGTGAACACTTCCAAACAGTCAGTTAATATGATGGCCAATCTATAATAAAATGACCATCGTTATTATGCTCCAATCAACGGTGTCTTTTCATCCGAATTATTTCTAGGCCTATACATTGTTTTTTTGTTTTTGTTTTGTGTTATGTATAGTATAATGTATTAACATGTATGTAATAATTTTTTTAATTCTTTTATTGCAATGTTTTATAGCAGAGCCGTAGGGTAGGAGCGGATGCAGCCGAGTACTGGTAGTAATAAGAGGGGCCCCCGTGGCCCATTTGAACTGGAACTGGGCCTGAAAAAGCATATGCTTAGCCACTATTATGGCTCCGTATTAAAGTGCTAGGTAATTGTAGCAGAGCCCCAGGGCCACTCCGGGCCCTCTTTGAGTGAGGCTACAGAGCTTTGGTCCCCGAGCGTTACATAACTGTGATGATGACGTTGACAACGTGGAAGATAATAATGTTAACGATTATGATAATGACGATGTTGATGCGATGACAATGACGATACTGACAATGATGATGCAAATGTTTAACAAGTTTTTTAATCTAAATTCAACATAAAACAAATTACATAACAGATATATTAAACTGCTTTAATTTAATTTAAACTCCAATTTAATATCATCATCATTATTATTATTTTTGTTACCATCCTATTATCATTAATATTATAATACTGTACATCATGAATTTAATTACATATTTTTTTCAATTTATTCTAATCCAATACACGGAACAAGAACATTAATTTTCATATTTAATGCAACATATTATATACTTTTTACACAAATTAAAATACTATATTTTACCAATCTACGATGGCAAATGAAATATTGAATGACAACATATTCAAATGGTTAGACTGCAACTATCTTAATTAAATGTCTAACCGAGATGTGGCGCACATTTAACCCCAGTTTTTAAATATTCAAAAATTTGTATCTCAATAACCGTTCCCGAGTGCTTTTGTCAAACTCCATTTTTGAGTCAGTTGTACAACATATCCATTTTGTTTTCCTCCGGAGCCTGCCTTTAAGTTAAAATAATGAGTAGGCCTATAAAACTGCAAGAGGTCCGTGGCCTTTAAAAGATAAGAGGAACGCGTACGAATTTCTAAATTATGTGTAGGGCGCCCTTATTTCGTGGCAGTTTACAAAATCTACAATAGATAATAATAGACAATAGACTTTATTTCTCTAAACGGACCCCTTTCAGGGTAAGGAGAGAACATTCAGCTTCTTGGTAACAGAAAAATATATATAAATAACGAGGTGCGGACACCACCCTTTCACAACAGAATGTACCGGTACAAAACTAAAATAAGCCCATGATTTTCGAAACAAAATTGGCGAGATTAGACTTCTCTTTGTTACTACTTGTGTTAAATAACTGGTACATTTTCATGGCATTGGGTCTGGTGTAATAGTACTTTTTTATAAGTCGCTCCCGTTCAATATTTAACAGGGGACATACAAATAAGTAATGAAATTCGTCCCCCACATTATTAAGATTACATAGCATACATTTGATATCAATATCATGACGGAGGTATCTTTTATGAACCGGTAGCTTATGATTACCACATCTAAACCTACATAAATCAATTCTATCCTTATTGGGTAGCATGATTAGTACCACAATTGTCAAGTACACTTTTAATCTTACTTGTCCATTTCGAAATGTATGTACCCTGATCATGTAATCTCTTTAACAGCTTAAACATAATATTTGGCAGTTTACTCTGTTTACCTTCCAAAATACGAACCCAGAAACTTAATATTCTTTTCTCAATTGTCACTTGGACTTTTGATCTACCTACTTCACCCAAGACCATACTGTTGGGAGTATATTTATTTAGTTTTAAGATATTTTTCAAAAATTTTCTATAAAACACTTCAATCTGGTCTAATTTTTGAAACCCCCAAACCTCACAGCCATAAATGAGGATAGGCAAAACAAGCTGATCAAATAGTTCGCATTGAATATCTACAGGCAAACCTATTATTCTGGCCTTTGTTAACATACTATACATTGCTCTTTTTGCTTGAGAAACTTGCTTATTTATGGCTTTATTGAAATTACCATTATAATTAAATGTTGTGCCAAGATAAACATAATCATCAACAGTGTGAATTTGTTCGTCACCAAACGTGAAAACCGGTATGTTTCTCACTTTACCTTTTGAAAAAATAACAATTTTAGTTTTACTTGTATTTACTGTGAGATGCCACATGTCACAATAATTTTTAACAGCGTGTAATGCTTTCTGTAACTCTGTTGGACTTTCAGCCATAATAATCGTGTCATCTGCATATAATAAAACATATAATCTAAGGAACACCTCTATATCGTTATCACTCAAGACAGTGTTAAATTCACATGCCAAATGATCTAAGCCATTACAATCAGGGAAGTCGGACCTCTTGCAGTTTTATACTCTTTGGTTAAAATGTTAGTCATCAATAGAGGGCGCTACAGAGGCCAAAATACGGTGTACAGTTACGTACTACCTTGGTACTACTTTGGCTCAGTGGCTTTGTGACATCAAAATCTGCCCTAAAATTAATTTTTTCTCAAGTTTGGCTTTAAAATTAAAATTTGTAAAAATACCAGTAAAGCTCGCTTTTTTTTAAAATGATCTATATACAGTATTAGTGCATTGTAATCCATGCTTTGCTTTTAGAGTCTTCAATGAAAACATTTTTTTTCCTTACAAGCATTTTAGTATGAAACAATTCAATATATACACATAATGAACTACTAATTGGAATTACAACATATCAATGTTGTTTAATATAATAAACTGTACAATACTCTCAATCAAAGACTTTACATTAAAAATGTTTGGTATATCATGAACATAATATGCATCTTGCTTGAATGAAATAGAAACTTTTAATGGAAGAGGGGTAACTATCAACTCTTACAAGAGCATCATCAGATCATGTGATTTGCTTAAGACATTTTGATTGGCTCAATATTCCACAGTTGCTGTTGTTGACTTGCTGCTTTTAATTGCTGCCATGTTTTGCGGTTAGCACGCAACGCCATCTATAATAAAAAGAATTTTTAAGTATGAATTACATTTTAAACCGTCAAGTTTTTATTCTTGAAATATTCCAGATTACTGTATATAATTAATTTCTGCACACAATTTCTTAGGAGTAAATAATGACTGCTTTATAAAGCAGCATCATATGTTGGATGTCGTTGAGAGAGAAGTCAAACCTCACCTCAGCAATTTCCACCTTCCTCTCCCAACTTCTGACAGTTTTATTCATTTCATACAAGTCTGCCTTCTCTTGCACATACTCTACAACTTCAGGAACTCTAAAATCTTCAAGTTGTTGGCGGAGCCTTCGATTTACTTCTTCAGCTTTTGCTCTCTCCTGCAAAACAAAATTACAAAGAATTATAAAAAAATGTTTTGGCTATCTTTGAACTTATCTATGATATATAACAGATACTTGTGTCTTTTAAGTGAACATTATCTATGACAGGTTTTATCTAGCAGCTTACTGTGTTGTCAATTCAACTAACTAGGTACTACAGGTCTTACCTAGTATGGCATAATATTTCGTAAACTTGCTTTTTACTTTTATTTTTAGGCCATGACTCATCCCATCATTCCTCCACCTGATTTACTCTTACAAGGTCAAATACCAGACGACAACACTGTGTCTACTCACACCCCCACCCAAGGGCAGTAGACACAAACAAAATAGAGAGGAAAAAACTAAAAGCAGTCCCACTGTCATGCATTACTTTTTCTGAACCTGCCTAGAAATAATTGGTGCTATGCATAGTTCAATTATCTTATCTATAGAGTATGTCGTATAGCTGTCAGGACAAAAGACATAAAAATAGAAAATTATATATAAAATTTTAAGCATTCTAATAATAATTATTTTTAAAAACAACTTACAGATTGTACAGTATCTGTTTCAGAATCAATTTTTCCAAGCAGGTCATTTCTAGAACTTATTTCTGCATTGAGGCGATCCGATTCAAGTGTCAACGTCTGCAGTTTTTTCTATTCAATTTAATAAAAAACATAACTCAAAAGAACTTCTAAAATATAGAGTTTCAACAATCAAAATCAAAGGTGTACGCCATTACCAAATTACCTTATATGAATTAAGAACCTGTTGGGTGTTGCCGCTCATGAGTTTCAATCTGAGGAGATCTTGGTTACGTTCATCGATCTTTTCAAGATATTGGCTGTTCTCAATCTTCAACTGCTGAAAGTCAACCTCATGCAACACCTCACCCATTTCTTCTTTCTAAAATTTTAAAAGAAAATCATTTCGATGATAATGACAACAAAATTATATAAAGACAGTCAATCCAGTATTGAAAAACTATAATTATACACTCTATTACTTAGTCGCCGTATTTAATACTTATAATAGACTGTGCCTCTTTCACAATCTGTATGCAGTGACTGGCCTCTTCATGTCAAAATGACATTTTAATGAAAAAAGAAAAATTCATGAACAAAGTAACTGAATGGCAACTGCTAGTTATAAATGCAACCTAACAAAAAAAACTTAAGCAACCTTTGAAATATATTTTTAAGTGTAATTTACTTGAAGCAAGGGTCTAGAACCTAAAATCCTAGTCACACTATGGCATCCTTTACTAACCTGTTTGAGCTGTAAATGCAGTTTTTTTTTCTGGACCTTTAAGGTAGAATTCTTGAGCCGTAACTTCTCGATTAATGTGTCCCGTGCTCTCTGTTTATCTTCAAAGTATCTGATCACTTTTTCCGCTATCACACGGTTGCTTCGGGAATTAACCGAACCCTTCACAATGTCCCTATCGAACTCATAGAATGACTTCTTGAGCTCAGACAGTCTTAGCTCAGCCTCCTCCATGGTAGCCTATAAGCAAATTAATTATTACATTATTTTTATTATTTATTTTAATTTAATAGAGAATGAAAAAAATGGTTTTCATACTGAGTTCATTTTTTCACACAGCCAATATGCATGGGACATGTAATTTGTCAAAATTTTTAAAAATGGTGTTGACAAGTTTTTTTAAGTGATATAAAATTAATCTCTTATTCAATGTCTACTCTGATCTCAAATCTAAACACTACCTTATTTTTGTCATGTACCATAATGATAATTTATGTTTATTTGAATCAAATTTAAAACAATAAATTTACAATACTTGGTAAGTACCTTATAGCCATCCATATCTTTCTCAGAGGCCTCTTTATGTTTTTCAATATCTTCTCTCAATTCTTCAATTTCTCTTTGAGCAATATCACACTTTTGTTCAGCTGACAATTTTAGATGTTTCTCGACGCCACTTCCTTTCGAACGAGACCGCTTCCGCATGACCCTGGCATCATGGGATGATTGGCTTGGAACTGGTAATACTGATGCTCCTGTTACACTCGGTTCAACTCTTTTCAGGTATTTTTCAAACATATCTGTTTCATTTTTGAGAACATAATTCCCAGACCTATAAAATATGCACCACAAAAATGAAATCATTAAAAAGGTATGAGAAAACTATGTTGATAGGTGTGCCTGGCATAGTTTAGGCTTAACTAGGCCTATGTAGGATTTTTGGCTACGATTATACTGTAGGGTAAGGGCCCTTTATCTTGATTTACCTTCTTGATCTTGAAGGCCTATTCGCCACTGGCCGAGTCTCTTACATATGGTTTAAACTTCTGATGGTGATTTAGCCAGTGTTCTTTTAATTAAGACTTGATTTAAATTGATTAATTGTTGTTTGTGAATCCACAGCTTCAACTGAGAAGCTAATCCAATCGTTAATTACTTTCGCAATAAAAAACTTTGTTCTCCCCCGTTGAGTTTCTCTCGGTTTCTTTAATTTTGATGATGATGAACAATTAACTTTTAATTTAAGTGTGATTTAGTGTTTTTAATTTTAAATAGTTTGTAGCCCTACTGTTAAAAAACAGTCAATTTTTATAAAGAATAAAGATATTTTATTTGTATTCCATATGTTCTATCTGCTGTTTAAGTGGGCTAGGCCTAGGCCTATACGCGATCGACAATGACAACGGATAACCACGGTTCATGTGCTGCAAGTGCAAAAGGCTTTCCGCTTCCCTACTAGGTAGGCTTGCTTCGTTGTGATAGCTTAGCCTGTACTGTATGTTGCAAACTTACTCAAATTCCATTCGCATCTGATTTAACTCATAGGAAGAATGCTCATTCAAAGGGTCATCTTGATTATCCATCTGCGAGGATGTTGCTATACTTTCAGTATCTGCCATGTTAAGCAACTGCAAAACGATTCTTTTTCAAAGACTTCAACGGAGTTGGTCAATGTTGGATCGCAGACTAGTCCAAAGTAGGATCCAATATTTACCGCGTTTTAAAAAGCCTCGGTTGCTATGACTCCCCATAATTCTAACAAAAATTGGTAGTAAAGCCACGTACATATCTGAAAACATGGATCAAATATTATTTTATTCCAGTCTCATTACTTTCATTTGCTTTTTTTTTTTTTTTTTTTTTTTTTTTTAAATTTTTTTTTTTTTTTTTGATCTAAATTACATTAGGCCTACAGCATGTACCAAGTAAGTATAAATTTATCCAACAATCCAGGTAACCTATAGCAACGAAGCACAACGCAACTAACATTAGAAAGGATCCTTCATACAACGTACACACGCACGTCTCTCCGTTGCCGTTTCGGAGATATTAGTTTGGTGGTTTTCATTAATTTCATTTAGAATAGTAGTAAATAATTAGCGATGTCTGTAGTGCAATTTACAGACAAAGACAAATTACAAAATCAATCTTGGAGCTGTCGAAATCGACGACAAACGCGTCACAAAGGTAAATAGGCCTAGGCCTAGACCGTAGGCCTACCTAACCTACAAAATTACAACAATCAGGTCAGTCAGGGGGCCTGAACAGGCTGCCTAATACTAAATAGCAGAGAGAGACAGGTATTATGGCCTAGGCCTAGACAAGCATAGGCCCTAGATTTGATCAGGAGGAATGAAGGACATGCATACAGAAATTGGAACAGCCTACCCTAGGGCTGGACTGCTCATTAAATATATAGAATGTTTAATTCAATTTTAATAATTAATACAAACAACAAGCTCACCCACAGCCTTGTTGTAATATTGTATGCCCATGTTTGATTATCCTAGATGCCTATTTATTAATTATTATAATTTATAATAAAAATACGATAAATTAAATTTTATATTATTAATAATAAATTCTTCTTTACTTTCACCAGTTCCTCCGACAAATGAAAGTAAGCAGTTTATAGACTATGGCAAGTTGCGATGGTTATGTGGTGAACAAACTTCAGCAGGTGGCAGGTAAAAATTAGACAAATCATCAAGCAATTATGTCAAAGCCAGGCCTGCCATTACTAAAGGGGTTTGGGGGTTTAACCGAACCCCTCTTTTAGTAGTATATTATCAAAACTTTGTTTATTAAAGAACAATTCTGAGTTAAACTTGGCCTATAGAAAACCCCTCTTCCCATGAACCAAGTTATGGGCCTGATGGCAAGTATATTTGGCATGAATTAACATTTCTTCTTTAAATTCTCTTATATATATTTTTTTGCAGAGTTGAATTGGACAAAATATCCGATGAGGATCATTCCTTTTTTATGGAGAACTATCACCAGATGTTTATTGATGCACGCGCTACACCAAAGATATCATTAGGAAGGGCTGACGGCATCTCACTGATGAGTGCAACCAACTTATCAACCGGTAAATTTTTAGGCAGTGGCTATATTACGCCAATACAATCCATGACATCCAATCAGAATTTGAAATTGGTTTATGTTACAATACCCACTGCCTTATTTTTCCACAGTGATATCACTTTATGTATTTGTTTTACTTTCAATTCTATGTGTGCAGTACTGTCAGTGGTGTATCTAGGAGGGTGTGCGGGGGTGCATGCCCCCCAAAAAAATTACTCGCGTTCCCCCAGTCGCCCCCCCAAAAAATCACTTGCAGGTAGTAAAAAAATCATCTTATTCTACAAGTTAGCGCCCCTGAACTGATCACCAAATCCCCCTACTTCACCTTCGCGTCTCCCCATCAGCACCCCTATTTCAAGACTTCTAGATACGCCACTGAGTACTGTATTATATTTGTACAGTATTATATTTGTACAGTACTGCTAATAAGTTTTCTACTGTATTTTCAATTTCAATGACTAGGGATACTCTCCAGGCAGCAGAGAAAGTTGCACAATGTGCGGATCTGCCAATTCAGTATCCAGTGACCAGGGAAATAATGATGCCAGCACCTTGTATAATCGCTTGTAAAATCTGCGGATTGTGAAAGGCGCTATATAAATTATGGTTCTTTTAAAAAAAAAAATAAATATGTATTAAACTTTTGTCAATGTTTTTAGGTATGTTGAGTACACTTTCAAACTTAAAAGACCAGAATAAAAAAGGATCAAGACCAGAGGAGATTAGCCATGAAATAAAGGATCACTTGATGCTGCTTCACAAAGAGCGCAAGATCGCTGACCCCGAGGTCATCAAAACCAACAGAATCAAAGACCTTAGAAGATTATTAAAGAAATTGTAAGTGATCAAAAGTGGAGGTTTTTTATATTCAATTTATGTCAAGGCTCTCAGGCAGGCCTGGAAAAAAAAAAAGACTTTGTGCCTCCGACCATGAAGATCATCTTACTTAACTGCCTCTAGGACCAAATGCTATCTTTACACTATTATAGTGAAACAGTAGTACATTTAGTGGCTTCAAGCAAGCAAAAATATTATATTAATGCATGAAATTGTCATGTGCAAAAAAAAAATTTTTTTTCTAAAATGCCTCCAGGTTAAAGGTCAATGCCTCCGACCGCCAGTCACACACTTTTTCCAGCCCTGCCTCAGGTCTTGCATGGTATCAGGACACACAGTACCTTAAGACCTGTGTTTGGTATTATACAAATGCTTCTGAGCACAGTCATTTTTCTACCATCAGAAACCATTATTTTCAATTTTATAAAAACCTGCTCAATTTATTTAATAATTTAGGCCATTTGAAAGATCAGGAGAGGATAACAAAATTATTTACAAGCACCTGAAAGCATTTCCCCTGATAGCCAATCAAATCACAGCTAAGGAGTTAAAGGAAGTCTGTGCAGTAGTCACCCTAGATATATGGAGGGATGAAGAGTATACAGGTGAGATAAGAAATACGTAAATAATAACAAAATAAGTAATATATAATATAAAGTAAATTAATAAGATTAGATCAATTATCAATGATAGTAGTTTTGGTATGGGAAAACATCTCCATTAATGATCATAATAATTTAAGTAGTAAATAATATGTAAAAATCAATTAAAAATAAATAATAAAATATATGTATAATATAAAATAAATTAATAAGATTAGATCAATTATCAATTATAGTAGCTTTGGTATGAAAAACATTTCCACTAATGATAATAATAATAATAATTTAAGTAGTAAATAATATGTGAAAATAAGTTAAAAATAAATAACAAAATACATAGTATAATATTAAATAGATTAATAAGATTAGATCAATTATCAATTAGAGTAGCTTTGGTATGGAGAACATCTTCACTAATGGTAAAAGATAATTGGAGGTGTTTCTCCATACTAAAGTTTCTATCATGTGATTTGTGTATTGTTTACATACCTTGAGAAAAAAAGAAAAACTATGTAAAACTCCAAGGGAGTATACCAGCTTGGCCTCAGTTGGTGGAGCATCTTACTTGAAACTTAAAAGTGTTGGGTTCAAATCCTTGATTATATGTTTTTCTCAAAATGTATCACTAGTTGAAATTGAATTGTTTGTTTCACAGTTTTTGGTAATACCGGATTCTACATCATATTGAAGGGAAGTGTATTGGCCCAGACTGATCCTTGGATACATTTGAAGAATAAACAAGCAAACAAACCTCCTCGCAATGTCACAAGTTTCTTATTAGATAAGGGTCTTCCAGAGGTATAGTAACTTTAAAGATTGTTTTATTCTACTTCAAAATTGAAATTTATGATACTGAACAGTGAATGGTAATCAAGTGTTTGTATATTCTATGAGAGGATTCAGAAAAATGTGGTGAAGGTTTGCATTTCCAAAATCTATTTTAGTCAGACAATTTTGAAATAGTTGAGAACATTGTCCTGTCTTTTCCCCTCCTTTGTTATCCCCCCCCCCCTGTGTTCCTCTACCCAAAATCTGCCTGGATATGGGTTTGAATGGTAGAAATAATTGTTTTCCTAAAAAAAAACCCTTGTATTTCCTTTTGAAATTGTTACTTATTGTTTCATATTTTTTATTTACTACACTCTTTTATTGTATTAAATCTTAATTCTCCATGTAAACAGTAGCTTTCATTAATTGTTAGTATGTATTTAGTATCTGCTGTCAATTTATTCTCTTGTTATTGTTTATTTACTCAGCTTGGAGTTGGTGATTGTTTTGGCAGCTTGGAAAGAATTGAGGGTCAGGAAATCAATTCACAGTAAGTAATGTAACAATCCTCTATTATGGGAAGACAATTAGTCATGATCTATGGACACTCCTAGCTCTCTACTTCAATCAAGCACTATTCACACCTTCTTTGTTTCAAAGGGAAAACAATAGATCACGGACGATCACCAACTCTATTTAAGACCAACATAAGTCATCTTTTATCATTCTCCTGATGACGGTCAGAGCAATCTTACGGGAACGTCGAGACAACCAACCAGTGGTTTTTACCTTAATAAAAACCATATTCTTTTATTTTATTTACACATGGTGTACCGAAAGTTTGTTATATGTTTAATGTTGAACACCAATAATAATTAGTCTTTTGTGTCAGATATTAAGTAAATAAACGGCAGATTTAGAAGGTGTACAGTACAGTATGCAGTCATAGGAACAGCATCACCAACCACCTTAAAATACTAATAATTAGTATTAATAAATACTAATTATTTATTAATAAGAAGGACCATGTTGTACTAGTGTAATACTGCCCCTTTAAAATGTACTGTAAGCAAGGCTGATATAAAAATGATCCACTGTCTATGATGTTAAAATACCATGCTGCTCTATGTATACACAATATACTACACATAATATACAACAAAAGTAGCTAAAATAACCAATAATATGAATAATAAAGAGATTAGCAGCTTCTATATAATTACTGTAAATGTGTGTGAAAAATACTGGTAACAACAAAATTCCATTTTAGAGTTTTGACACTGAAAACAAAAACAGTTCCATGTGAGTTTTTGAAGGTGTCCAGCAACGACTACAAAAGAATATCGCAGGTAAGGGTTAAGAAAACTAGGGAAACACTTTTTTCTTTTTGTAGTGTCACAAGTATTTTATATGGCATTAGGCTACCATTGGAAACGTTGTCTTCTTAGGCATTGTACTTTATTATATTTGTGTCTCTTTACCAGCGGCAGTGGCAAAAATGAAAACATAAATAATTCTTGTATTATTATTATCTAATTTATTCACAGCAATTAAAAGAAAAAGATTTAATGGAGAAGAGTAACTTAGTTCAGCCCTGCGAGGCTTATAAACTGTGGCCAAGACAGTCGCTACAGATGTTAGCGGAGCTCATAGAGTGGGTATCTTACCCAGAAAATACTGGTGAGTGGAGGATAATGAAACAGGATGAGGCCCTTGCATGAGTGTTGAGTGGATGTTTTACATTTCCCCCAGGATGGGCCTCATAAAGTACTTAACAATATTTCAACAATAAGTCTAATGAGGGCATGAAGCTCTTTCTACACCAAAGTATACCGTCATGTGATTTATGTATTATTTGTTATGTATTACCTAATGCCTTGCGACTCCCAAGAATATCCAAAGCGGGGTGGCACCAGCCAGTGGGACGGCTGGGCCCGGGGCCAGCTGTCGGGAGCCACTGTAAAATCTGGCAGGGGAAAACTTAAACATGGTGGGGCTTAATTGGGTGTCAACAGATGACGTCAACTCTGATCCTAGGGGGGTATCAAGGTTGGCCTTGTAGCTTAGTTGGAAGAGCATCCAAATGGTAATTGAAGGGTCTTGAGTTCGAATTTTGGTTGAGATATTGTTTCCTTAAAAAAAAAAACACTTTAAATTATATAGTGCATGCCTACTCAAAGCTATTGTATTAGAATTTCATTCCTGCCTCAAAAATATAACTACTACAGTAACACTTTCATATGGTCTAAGTGCTAATTGATTTCCTTCTTTCGTGCATTATAGTAATTACTGGAAATCGATATCTCTCAGATATTTATTTGTATTAAAATTGCTCTCTTGATTTTAATGGCAAATCATAACACAGTACTGTAATTTAGTATGTCCTGTTATTTTGTTTCAGTTTTGGTAAGCGAGGGCTTTATGTGTCCATTCATTGGCTTCATAAAGTCTGGCGAGTGCCATGTTTTGAGACAAGTTGAAGTAAATCACAAACTCAGAAATGGAAAGGAGGTAAATGAATGAATTAGTGAATATCAGAATTGTACGCAAATAATTAGGTCATATGGGAGGGATAACTAAAGATCTATCCACACTATCAAATTTATTTGACAAAAACGGTCGTATGCCCATATATAGTCAGGATATGCCAATATATGGTCATGATGTGATGTCATCATGACCATATTTAGACACGTCACATGTTTTTGTCAAATAAAATTTGATAGTCTGGATGGGGATTATAAGTGTTTTAATGTATGGAAGTGTAGCAAGAATTAAAGCATTTGAGAATAATAAGTTCTTAAGTGTCATGATATATAGCATTAGTAACCTCCAGTTTGCATCTTGTTTCCCCCAAAACTGTTGTCATTAATTTTTTAATTTGAATTTAAAATTGCAGGAAAAACGTTTGAAGCAGGTAGTGATGGGTAAATTGACGACATCACAGTCATTCGGTGAGATCAGCGTACTGGAAGCAGAGGCCATTACGTGTTCTATTGTTACGGCCACAGATGTTACGCTAGGTGTTATCACACCAGAAAGGATAACTGGTAAGACTTCCTCATTTGCTCATGCATTATCATCAAAATTGTTTTAGAGTGGCTTGGGGTGCACGCCTCCCAAAAGAAGCCCACGTCCTCAATATGCACCCCACTAGAAGTTTGCTTGGCAAATAAATTACTCAAGTACTTAAAAATAAACTAATTTAACCTTATTTAGCCAGGTGCGCTAAAACCCCCTCACCTAACTTTTGTGCCCCCACCAGTTCCCTCTCCCATGTCAATACTCCTTGGTACACCTATTGCCTATCATGTAAGAGCCTGATTTCTTTTTTTATCCCCGCACAGAATTGGATGAAACTACACAGTCATTGCTACTTCAATCAAATGAAAGAACATTTGGAAACCTATCCAAGGAGGAAATTTACACTGAGTACGTAGACCAGGAGTTACAGCGTGAGTGGAACCAATTTAAGCATGGAGTGGTTGTCAATGTCATAAACAGCACTGGTATTCGTCCTGGGTGTGGCAAATGGTCAAAATCTGTCCCGCAATAGTTGCAAATTTTGTGTTGTGGTTTTTGTTTTTTTTTTTCTTTAAAGAGTGAATCAGCGTGAAAATATATAATATAATTGGATGCATCTGCTTCCAAATTATTATACTAGTATTCTTCCATAGGTTGGGTACTGCAATAGCCGATATGACCTACTGTATGATCAAACGTACTATGTACTACACTCTGTCTAGGCACCAACCTTTAATGCATTGGATATATTGTATAGTGTATATCAGTTTCCTTCAATAATGTACATGTTGAGCAGAATAACAATTTTATATAGATTTTTAACATTATTAAATCTGTCTTCCAGCTTAAACAAGAATGATGAATACAAAAAACAATTTTTATGAAAACCATTTGTATTTTCTATATTACATATTCTTATTTATATACTGTACAAATTGTTCAGATAAGCTTGATAAAAAATACTGTAAAAAATTACATCTTTTGTTGTTTTGTAAAGTCAAAGCCTAAATTAGTTGCAGATAACAACTGACTAAGGTTGAATAACTGTATGCATTTGTGATGCTCTTCGGGATTGATGATAAAAATAGTGCAACAGTACTGTACAACAACGAACATCATGAACCATCCACAGCTCTGTTAAATACGTTTATTCCTCTGGAGATTCTATGACATCATGCAAGTGGAAATGTGAAATATTTGTTACCAATCTTGCTGCAGAGGTTATTGACCTTCCAAACCGATGCCTTTGATGAAAAGTGCTCAAGGAAACATCTCTGAAAACAAAAATGATAGGTTCTTTGAATAAATTCACTCGGAATAATGATAAACTGTTATAATAAATTCTTTGAGTAGGAAACACTCAACTTTATTTTGAATTTAAAAAAAATATATTTATTCTAACAAATACAATAGTAATCAATAGCCAGACAACAAGCCGGTGAGGCTTTGGGTCCCAATCTGCCCCTGCTTCATGAGTACAGTAATAATATTATAACAAGATATACACATATAATAATAATATTGTGATCTACTAGAACAATTCTTACCTCTAAATTACGCAAAAGATCTATTGACAAGTGTTGGGATATGTCTCCTAGGCACCATCCTATACTGACATGAAATGATGCTGGCTGAAAATGATTAATTCAATAAAATGACCATAACCTGACATTTAAACTATATTTATAAGCTCACAAGTCCTATTCAAGGCATGATAAACAAGATTTACGATCAAAAACGAAAATTTTGTCTGGAGAAACAAATCACAATTCAAAATCATTGTATCATTTATATGTTGGCTATGAGTGATAAAGTTAGGGTATTGTTCTTTAGATCTCTTCATGTCAGACAACAGACCTTATAGAATGATGGTAGATTAAATTCCTCAAGAGCTAAATCCACTTCTTTAACAATGTCTTGTAGTTCCTTCACCCCTTGACTTATGGTAAGACTAAGAAAAGATCTGTTGAATGGACAGAAAACAGAATTTTAATTCATTATATTACTAATAAACCACATATTGTACCTGTATTCTTAAACTCATGTTTACTACTTGTTTATCCTCTGTGGGTGTGGGGTGCCTTGGATTTAACAGGCTGTCATAATATAGGTGTATCTCAAGATAAACTATTCATTTTAGGAAAAACAATGAAACTACTGTATTCTAGAAAATACTGTACCTTGTTGACTCGTCATTAACATAGACATGTGGCTTCCCAAATGCACACACAAATTGCGGTAAGAAGGCAAGTCTGTTGGAAACAGATTCAACAAATGGTCTGATCCAGTGATATTTCAATGTAACTGTCCGTGATACACTTAGATGAAACATCTCCACTGGGTGCATCTTACACTTTCCAGGAATGCAATCAAGTAAGGCTGACACAAGATTCTCAAACTCGTGGGTCACACTGACTAAAATAATAATTTACAAAAATATATTTAGGTCATGATATACAGTAGAGTAGCAGCAACACTTTATAAGAAAACGTATTTCAATAAGGATGGTGTTGTGCACAACTCCTGGGGAGCAAGACCATAAATTAAACCGCATTTTAAGCTTTGATGGTGCCAAAGATTTCCTGTCGAAGGTATACATGGTCACTGAGGGGAATTCACACCCACCTCAGCAGTGCTCCCTGATAAAATATTTTGCTTTTCCCTAAATGGTACTGTACCATCCCACACTGCAACATGTTTGTGCATGCTTGCCAATATTGATCCAATTACTATGGGCATTAACAGTGAAAATGGTGCTGAAGATCCTACAAGAGGGAATGGGGGATGGGAAACTGAAGCCCTGCTAAAGCCAAGGAGATGCATGAGCATGCTAAGACTCCAGGATATACTGTAACACTGAATCCTTCTAATGATTAATTATGTAATTATCATGTGAATATCTTGTGGTATGTAGTTTAAAAATGTCTTACTTGGCACATAAACATAAGTAGCCCAACTCCCCTCTTCATGAGGAAAAGATCGAACACGTCCTTGATGACAGGACAACTTATCCGCATCAGTTACATCATCTCCACCAAACATTGAAAGCACTTCATCTGGCAGTGGCAGTAAAGTATTTCTAAACCAAATGAAAAGGAGAGAACATGTTTATTGACCAAAAATGATAATATGATACACTTGTACAGCTATATAGACTGATAGATCCTAAATTAAAAGCTGTAGACCTTTGCAGAAATTAATTCCTGCATGTTACCCATTTACCTCCATTTGCCTCCAGTAACACAAGAAAAGGGGTTCAATTATGAATTGCAATTTTAAAAAAACACATCCCTGTTGCTAAAATTTAGTGTGCCGAAAATGCAATTTTTAACAGTAATGTTTTGCATAAAAGATGAAAAATAGAAAACAGGATAATGTACTTTTCCAGAGCTCAGTGTCAATCAAACGTTTTACTGATCAATCAGAACAGTACCAGGAATATGCACTTGTCCAACAAAATGCACATGACACAAGCACATAGGCAGGATTTTTAAAGGAGGTTCGAATTTTTCAAAAAAGGGCACTTTGAGTTCTCACTCACCTTAGCCCTACAATGGCTGTGGTAAATTTTGAAGATATGATATGCCAAAAAAATTAAATGCCAAATTTCGAATTAAAGGGCTTTTCTGGAAAAGGGTGGTTCTTTCGACTAGCTAGGCTACACACGGTAAGCCTATTACTACTACTACTACAGTATTTACAATAACTTCATTTATCATCAATGTACAAATCATAGGCCTAGACCCCTGGTATTCAACCTTTTAAAGCTGGGGGCCAGTTTCGATCTGTCGAGACCAACGGCGGGCCGACATAAATTGTGTACTTCCATTTTCTTTTAAAGCAGTGAATTCAAAATAGAAGGATCAGGGGACAACTTTCACAGATAAGGGAAAATACCACCTCAGCCCCACCATGTTTGGGGCCGAGGCAAGAAAATTTATGATTATGGCACTTCTAGATGGTCGGAAATGTCACTCTCAGACTTAATTTGAATTTAACTTTCTTTTCTTCTCTTTTCTTTCTTTTAGAATTTAGAAAAAAAAAAAAAATTCTCCAACCCTGGCACCCGAAATTTTTCAACCACAAAAATATCCTCTCACCAGTGGTTGGGGTTGAGGTGAGCACATTTTCAACGTCAGAGTTAGATACCCCTACATTTCTGGAAATTGCACTTTCAGACTCAAAAATAAGTTTTCAAAGCAGTGTTTCCAACAGAATAACATGCCCAAGCCTACTATGGGGTGCCGCAAATGGTTAGACATCGGGCATCATATCAGTATCCCACTTAATCCATTCAATATTGTCCCCATTCATTGGTCTACATCCATTCAATATTGTCCCCATTCATTGGTCTACCCTTCCCCATGCCAGTACCCTACACCACTACTAGATGCAGTGAGCTACACTCAGAAAAAGCCACACTCTTGTAAACATTGTACTGTAGGGGTGCCTGTGTGCTCTTAACAGAAAAACTTTTTCTAAAAATGTTTCGCAGGCCGGATTAAAATTTGTGGCGGGTCGGATTTGGCTCACGGGCCGGGGGTTGAATATCGGGGGCGAGGCTAGGTAGGCTAGGCCTAGATTATATAAATTTGATTTTAAAAAGTGGCTGGTGCAATATCTTTATGGCAAAACCTAAAATTATTATTAATTTACAGTATATACTATTAATAAAATAACATAATGAAATGACATTCGCCTAGGCCTATGCTCACCTCCCATCTGAAGCATGTTCTGTATGATTAGGCCTAGTATTACTACTGCTGACGTTAGGCCCAGGCTCATCAGCGCCCCTACCAGGTACCACTACCATTGTTGTACGCCCGACGTTGTTCGAGGTCTGGCCTAGGCATTTGCTACGTTGATATTGGTAATGATCCTCATCAGAATCATTTTCGCTTGAGTCGTATGCCTGAAGAGCACACAAACCAGACATCTGATCTAAATAATTAGGAAACCGTTAAATATGGGACAGTTTCCACACAACATTGAAGTGTATTTATAGAGCGATCACCCATCTCATTTGGCTTATTCGGAAGCAGGTCAACTCGGCCCCAAGTCAACTCGACTCCAAGCAATTTAACTGCAATGTATTCAGCGTGACCACTCACAATTTTTGATATACCCAATGACTGGGTCGAAATTACCCAAGATTCAGCAAAAATTGCCCAAAATTGCCCAAGCTTCCTGAAAATGCATTAAAATTTGAAAAAAAACCCATGTTTTTCGCATGTATAGTTTCCCTTTTAGTTCAATTTATAAACCATTTTTTATTGTAATTGTTTGTGTTAATTATTAAAATTAATATTCATGAGGTGATAATACGGATAGAAAATACGCCCTCAGTTGGCCAGTGTTATCAGTAGATCAGTGATCAAGTTTTAGTATGTAATGCATTAATTAGGTAAGATCAATGGCAACGCAAATCACAAAAAACAATTCTGAACCCATGTTTACAGCAATTAACAATGTGTTATGTGCAGTTCGTTGAGTTTTGCTTACTTGAATGGACTGAAATATACTTCTTAATTCTTCCTCTATGACAAAAATATTAAATTTTCGTAGTAAAAATAAAATACCCAAGGATTTGAACGGAATACCGAAGAACCCAAGACCAAGTCAAAATACCCAAGATCTTGGGTAAATACCCAAGCAGTGGTCACACTGAATGTATTCGATGTTCGAAATACGCAGAGCTGTGTGTGTGTGTACCATCCAAGATGGCTGCCATAGATTTAGCCAATCAAATTTCGCCTAAAGCACCATCATTTGCAATTGCGCCCTCAATTTACACAGAAAGTTCAGTACAGCTAGTTACCCGTATGTTTGAAACTCGAGCGTTGCGGTGTTTGGGTGTAATGTACACGATTTTAATTTTTCATGCCTTGGTACTTTATTTTTGAATAAGATGCTCCACTTGGCCTCGTTTTGGCTACAATAGTTTAATAATTTGTTATTACCATTACTCATTATCATTAATGAAATAATAGTCAGTCAGAGAGCTTATTAATATGTAATAATAATATATGTATACTAAGCCTGAAGGTGACGCTTTACTACGACGGCCATCTTGGATGGTACACATACATAACTCTGCATTGCTGCGCCATCTTGTCAGTCAACTCGGCCCAAGTGTTAACTCGGCCACAAGTAGTTAACTCGGCCCCAAGTTAACTCGCCCCAATTTTACTGTATATTTACGAAATAATTACCAAAAGAAATTTGAATGCAAACCAAACTATGCCAAAATTAAAGTGTTTTAAATCGTTGCCCTTGTTATTGCTCTTTTTTCATTTACATTTTTTTTTCTTTTTGTTCACGTGATCCACTAGTGAGATCAGTGCTGCGTCACTGAAAGTGTTATCATTAAAGGCAGAATAAATAAATAAGAAAACCAGCATTAATAAAAATAATTTAAAAATAATATTATTAAAAAGGCATAACATAAAAACTAATGATAACAACGGTATGAACAATAATACTGATTTATATCATATTAAATATATATATATATATATTTCATTTGTGTTCCACGTGTGTTCCGACAG